CTACAGTCTCTGGTCTCTGGTCAGGATCTTTATATACAGTCTCTGGTCTCTGGTCAGGACCTTTATATACTACAGTCTCTGGTCTCTGGTCAGGACCTTAGATAACTGAACTGGGGCAAAAGTCATTTCACGTACCCTCCTGAATGTCACGTGGCCGTGTCCCGCTGCTGTGATTGGCTGAGCGGACATCTCTGTGTCTGTAGGACAGAGACGCCTGCGTCATTTCTGCTCCTGTGTCCTCGACGCGTTAGAACGATGCTGCTCAACAAGGTAAATAACCTGACATCTGATGTTATCCAGTGTAATTCACTGCCTGTGAAGGTGTCGGTGCAGAGACACCTCCAGCCGCAGCTCTGTGACCTGGTGTCACCTCCCGAGTCCTCGATGCTACAGCTAAATAACAAGCTAACGACACTTAGCTAAACAGCTAATGTTGTGTTTCCTGTGGATGTGTATTTAACTCGAGAGGCTTTAAATCACACCGGAGGCTGTTTTACATGTGGAGACGTCTTTTCTCTCAGGGTTTGTTTGCAGATGATTAACATCCGCCTTGTAAGAAGCTGCAGCCTCGAGTGGCTCATTGGTTCGTTGCACGAAAACAGGTTTATTTGTTAACAGGAAATCACTCCAGCGTGTTTATCTGAATGCCTGGACATGGAACAAAACCAAACGTGTCGAGGAATCTCATAAGAATCTCTGGGCTGTAAGAACAGACTGGATTCTCTTCTTGGTTTAAAGTGAGGAGCCACTAACTATTGATAATGTAAACAAACCAAATGTAGAACTGGTTAGAATCAGGTGTGTGTCTAAACACGTTTTCATTTATAAATCTCCACTTCACATCTCTTCTCTCATTTAAATCCAGTCACTTCAGTTCACACACACAGTATCTACATGACCTTAGAAATCCCACACGTTCACACTGATGTTGGCGGAACTGGTTTCAGGTGTTTTGCAACCTTTTGAATGACCTGCTCTACAACTAAAGTCTTACATTCCCCTGGGTGGTTTTTTAATCTTTGTTATCTGATGTTTTTCTGGATTCTTCTAACTGTGTTGGTATTTATTAGCTGATCGTGAAAGTCTCAGGTCGTTCTATTTACATCAAGATTATATAAATAGAGTAAATACTTGTTGTTAATACATGACATATTTTAAAATGTGTTTTATACAAAAGAGCAATGGGATATATTAATAATAATAATAATAATAATAATAACAGGAACTCAATCAATCAATCAAATGTATTTATATATCTCTGGTCAGAGGCTAGGAGAATATCATTTGAGACTTTTAAAAGTGCTGACCCTGTACTATGGTGCATTCTGAATCCAGACTGATAGGCCTCGTGCAGGTCATTTCTCTGGAGGTGATTGAGCAGCCGATTTACAACAGCTCTTTCTAAAAGTTTAGAAGTAAAGGGGAGGTTTGATATAGGCCTGTAACTTGCTAAGTTACCTCTATCTAAACTAGGCTTCTTTAGCAGAGGCTATACACTTAGCTAGGAGCTAAGTTTGCTAACCGGCAAAGAAATTACGCTTCACAGATGTTTAGCGTCGTAACGTTTTCAGAATAATAGAAATAAAATAGGGAACTGGGATTTGTATAGCACCTTTCAAGGCACCACAAATTGCTTTATAGAGTTATGAAGGGACAATAACAATAAAACATATTGTTTGTCATTTCCTGGTTGCAGAACAGGAAATACAGCTCCAGCTTGAGAAATGTGTTCATGCAACAGACTATAAATGTGGAACACTGAGTATTTATGTTTGAAGAAAACAGATGCTTGGCGATGTTTCACAAATCTATTGGTTATACATTAGAGGCTGAAAGTAGGGCTAACTAATTATTGACCAGAGTGGAGATGTCCTTAACTATGCATTGCTTATGTCTCCCTCCACACACACAGGTACTCAGAGCCGGCGTGCGGTCCGGGATCCGGCTGCAGAGCACCAGTGCTGCTGAAGCCAGTGCTTCAGCATCCTCCACCCACTCATCCCTCGGGTTCTCATTTGGTGGGTAAAGGCTGTTGAACTTTTACCTCATTGTAAACGCAACTGTACACTCACCCATTATTTCTTGTTTTTCTGTATTATATATGTTCTTGTATAAGACTTTAACTATAATTAGCTCACTGTCGGAGTGACACGATGGGCCAGCACCTTGGTGCAACACGTTTTTGATATTGGAGGGTTTTGACTGTAAAAATTAGATGTACCCAAAGACACGGTGAAAGTTACAGTTTGATGCTCTGTAAGACTTTGACTAGTCAGGGACTTTAAGAATATTACTTTAAGTGTGTTGAAGCTGCTCACATTTGATCTTCTTGCTCCTCTCTGGCTCACAGAGATGACGGATCAGCAGAAGGAGTTCCAGCAGCTGGCGAGAAGGTTTGCACGTGAAGAGATCGTCCCTGCCGCAGCTGCTTATGACAGGAGTGGTGAAGTAAGTTTATCCTCAGGGTTTTGCTGCAGGGAAAATAAATGAATCATTAGTTGCGGTCCGAGCGCAACGATCTGCACAGGTCACATACACTGTACAATCTAAGGGCTACTGTATGCTGCATATAGGTTTTATTCTTGTTTGTTGAAGTCTTTATTAATTTCTTTAATATATTATATAATATCTTTGTGTTTGTTTTACCTCCCACCTCTGTGCTCCTATATCAAGTTAATTTCCTCTCTGGGATCAATGATGTCTTGTCATGTATTACACTGTGAATAAACTGTAACTCCAACATGTTGTGTCATTTTCAGTATCCTTTCCCCATCATCAAGAAAGCATGGGAGCTTGGTCTCATGAACAGTCACATTCCTCAGGAGTATGGTATGTTGTTCTCTTGCTCACTGACTATTTCAGAATTTCTTCCCAGGTGTCAGTGTCTCATCCCAGTTAAGTTTTGTAGATGTCCTGAATAGTAGTGAATGCTTAGTAAATATGTCCAGATTTGTCCTGGTGAAATAGCTCCTCTTTAAGTTTGTTAATGTGTTTAATCGTGTCGGTGGAGATTATTTCAGGTCAACGTCTGTTTTAAAACACAGTGAGAGATGCTGTTATTTTCTGTCTCTTTGTATTCAGGTGGAATGGGCTTGTCCATCTTCGACAGTTGCCTCATCACAGAGGAGTTGGCTTACGGCTGCACAGGAGTGCAGACCGCTATCGAGGCAAACTCTCTGGGAGTAAGTTGAGTTTTACTACAATTTATAACATCATTACTCCTGAGCAAGTCCATAATTCATCAAATTAATGTGGGTCCTGCTCAGTGTGGGTTCGTCTTAGTCACAGCACACAGACAAAGAGGTCAGGATGAACGAGGGAGAGACTTGATTCTCTTTCATTTCAAACTCTTTTGTTTTTTACATGTTGAATTTATATAGTGATGTTTTAAAAGCATTTGGTATAATGCATTACATTGAATGTATTCCGAGGTCATCAAGAAGTAAAAATAAAAAATGATAAAAGATTTTAAAAAAAACGTAATTTAGGTGATTAAATAACATCTTCTTTCTCCCACACAGCAAATGCCTGTTATTATTGCTGGCAGTGATGCTCAGAAGAGGAAATACCTGGGGAGGATGGCTGAGGAGCCTTTTATGTGTGTAAGTATTACATTTTAGAAGATCATTACATATTTTCTTTTATTATAGTTTCTGTATCCAGTAGGGCTGCAGGCATTGGCTTCCTGTTTTTGGAGAACTATAGACTCTTACATGTTATAGTGATATTTTCTGGTCGTGACTCCAGCGAAAAGGTACGGCTCTGTCTTCCACCAGATCAGACAGTGCCTGACTCCTGTGTGTTTGTTCTCTGCAGGCGTACTGCGTCACTGAGCCGGGGGCAGGCTCCGACGTGTCCGGCATCAAGACGCGAGCTGTGAAGATGGGTGATGAGTATGTTGTTAACGGGCAGAAGATGTGGATCACAAACGGTGGGAAAGCCAACTGGTATGTGATCATTTATATTGCCGTTGATATACGCTCAGAATAAACAGTCACTTGACACTTTCGCACAACTGTGTTTTTGTCCCTAAAGGTCCCAAATACAAAAGCATCTGTGTGTTAGTCTGAAAGTGGTTTAACCATGTATACATCTTTTATTTCCCCAGGTACTTCCTCCTGGCTCGTACCAACCCAGACCCCAAATGTCCAACCGGCAAGGCCTTTACTGGCTTCATCTTAGATGCCGACACTCCAGGAATTCAGGTTGGAAGGAAGGTGAGATGAGCCACATGATCTGGGATCGTACTACGGTTTAAATCTGTGAAATTTAGTTTAGCAAGTGAATGTACAGATTGAGTAGATGAGGACAGACAACATGGTTTTCAACACTGCTGCATGTTTGTAGGAGATGAACATGGGCCAGAGATGTTCTGATACCAGAGGCATCACCTTTGAGGATGTCAGGATACCGAAGGAGAACGTCCTGATCGCAGAGGGAGCTGGCTTCAAAATTGCCATGGGAGCCTTCGACAACACAAGGCCACCGGTAAGTCTTTAATCTAATTTTAGTACAACACAAGTTGTTTCAAATTTTCAGTTTTTGCAAATGAAATGCTCAAGTTTGATTACTTCTTTGTGATACAAGATCTGTGCCTTTAAATGTTCAATAAACTAATTTCTATATTTTTATAATATATGTTAAATGAATCTGAATTGCATGGCAGGTGGCAGCAGGAGCCACAGGCCTGGCTCAGAGGGCACTGGATGAAGCCACTCATTACGCTCTGGAGAGGAAGACCTTCGGCAAAGTTATTGCTGAGGTTTGTTCACAAAGATCTTCAAGTTTTTGTTCGAGGGTCATCTGCAGAAAACCACATCACAGAGTTTCCTCGTTTTTTTTTCCCACTGAATCACAGAATTGACTTTAGAATGCTGTTTTAAACGAGCTGATTAGTTTTTACTGGAGCTATCATGTCCGCTAAATATTAGGTGACTACAGTGTTAAAAGTACAAAGATGAGTCTTCTGTCTGGTCTCGTCTCGCAGCACCAGGCCGTGTCCTTCCTTCTGGCTGAGATGGCGATGAAGGTGGAGCTGGCCAGGATGGCGTACCAGCGCTCGGCCTGGGAAGTGGACCAGGGCCGCAGGAACACCTACTTCGCTTCCATCGCCAAGGCCTTCGCTGGAGACATCGCCAATCAGGTGGCCACTGACGCTGTTCAGGTGTTTGGGGGCAACGGGTTCAACAGCGAATACCCGGTGGAGAAGCTGATGAGAGACGCCAAGATCTACCAGGTGGGTGATGATACCGTTGTGTACTGACTCTGTTCGCAGATATTGATTGGCAAAAATCTCCTTTTTAATTTTTCCTTTTTCTTTTCAGATCTATGAGGGAACGGCTCAAATCCAGAGACTCATTATTGCCAGAGAACTTCTGGGAAAATACAAGAAGTGAACTCTGCACGCCTGAGGTCCTCTTCGAATGTTTTTTGTTGAAACTTTTCTGCTCCTGGAAATAGATCTGCTCACTTAAAAGACAGAGCAAAATGTTGTTTGCCTTAATACTCTTTCATCCAGCCTTGCTTCTTCAGGTTAATCCAGACTGTATTGGTAGAAACAGATGTTTGAACAACCTTCAGTTAATGGTTTTATAGAGCTGTCGGGAGATGCTCATTGTAATATTGAGACCCATGGTGAAGAGATGACTCCAGATCTTCACCTGGTGCTTAAATTTATTTTAGTTTTCAGTTCCATGCAGTGACAATGTAGGAATGTGCAGAGTTGAGAACAAAAAAATTAAAAGATACTAAACAAACAAACAAACAAAAACTCTTCAAACTGAAATCATATACTAGTTACTAGGCCACTGACTCATGGGCTCTCGTACACACAACCTCCAGGCCCAAATTTAACGTCCTCCTGAGGAGCATCTACCCACCGGCTTTAAAGTGGAAGCCCCTCCTACAAGACACACCCCATCTGGACTGGCTTTTATGTGGTACACTCCAGATTCCCCTCTCTATAAATGGAGTTGGAATCTCCCACTTCCTGTTTGCCAGTGTGACCAGGACCCTACATGAAGGGTGGATATGACATCACAAACACATGTACCCAAAACATTAAATAACAATAAATGTTTGTGAAATAAAACTGTGTCGTTGAGTTACACGGTCACTTGCCCATCATTCTTAAACTATACATTTATAGTTGTTGGAGGACGCTGATGATAAACTTGGACATATTTGACTTAATAAGTTGATGAGGCTGCCATCGTTTTATTTTTGCGAGGTGAGATTGTGTCTTTGTGGGGGTGGAGGGGCCGGTTCAGTCACACAGACACACTAATGCAACCCTAATACAGTTAAGATTTATTCATGTGACATATTCATGTGATATATCCCCATAAAATCAGAGATGATAATGTCTCTTTCATTTCTCTGCATCATGTGTCTCTGACATCAAGTGTGTTTCTGTCATTCTGTGTATCTTAAAGAAATCTAATGTAGTGGGTGCAGTGCACATTTTTCATACAATAAAAACCAATGAACTCTTGTTCTTTGCAGATCTATTTGTCATCAGAACTTGTTAGAGACACAGGGATGTGTGTCTTACGATGTTTTAACGGTAAAACATGTTTTCTGAAAATGTGTCTCTGCCTGTTTTTGTAATGAATCCTCAACAGTCGCAGCTTTACACGTAACCATCTGCAGATGTATTGAGCATTAAACATTTAGCTGTGTGTGGGTTTGTCACCGTAGCATCACTTTTTGACAACAATCATAAGAAGAAGAATTTGAACTGAAGCTTTTCAGCCTGTGAATCATCCGTTCATCAAACAACTGTTTTTAAAAGTTTGCCAGCTATAGCTCCACTCAGTCAAGAAGTGATAATGATCGAATGATGTTTTTTTTGTGAAACTAATAACGGGAATAAAAATCTGCATCGACAAATCAAAACCAATTTACTATCTGTGTATAACTGGTTTAGTGTGTTCACCCTCCGAACAGAAGGGGGCGGCAGTGCGCATCCTTGCCTGATCTCCAACCGCTGTTAAACACAAGAAGTGGATAATGCTAGCAGCGTGAGGATGGTAGGCAGCTCCTGTGTTTACGTCTTTATTTCACTTATTCTTACTCATTCTGCTGTTAATTATCACTAAAGCGACTTAATGGCGGACGTGCGGTGAATCGTTGTGTCCGTTCTGTCCAAATGTAGCCGCTAATCTGTGCTAGCTGTTAGCAAAGAGCCTGAGCTGTAACTAGTGTTAGCATGTAGCTCCCCCTCCAGTTAGCTTAACCTGTCAACAACCAGCGTTCAGACACGTTGTAGATCTTCGCAGGACCGTGTTGCTCCAGCGGCGGCTCGTGTTCAGCAGTTTGTCCTCTGGCGATGAGTCACTGTCAGTCTGTGGCTTCTTTTCATTGTTGTCACGTGTTTGTTTGTTTTTTCTAACGTCAGGGAACCCAAGTGAAAGATGTCATCGTGAAGCCCGACGCTCCCAGCTCACTGATGCTGGACAAACACGCGGACTACATCGCTGCCTACGGATCCAAGAAGGACGACTATGTGAGTGTTTGTCTCAGCCCCGTGAGCGTGGACACGGCTCCACGTCTGGACTCATCTGGACTCAGAGTCTGGTTACAGATCCAGTTCAACTCATGACTAACACCTCACATCTGTTTCCCTGCCTGTGTCTTTGGAAAATGTGCAGTAACTATACACACACACATGCAGTAACTATACATACACACGGCCAGTAACTATACATACACGTACAGTAACTATACATACACACGTACTATAACTATACATACACATGCAGTAACTATACATACACGTACAGTAACTATACATACACACCTGCAGTAACTATACATACAAACGTGCAGTAACTATACATACAAACGTGCAGTAACTATACATACAAACGTGCAGTAACTATACATACAAACGTGCAGTAACTATACATACAAACGTGGAATAAGTATTCACACTCACTCCATACAGTTAAAGTTCACTTGGAACGAATGTCACGCTGCACCTTTGAATGTATGTGTCTTTAGTTTAGTTCTGTATCGTCTTTGACTTTTTTATATTAAGCTCTTTCTCTTTATGCTGCGTTTCTACTACCGATCATCAAGATGATGCATTATTGAATATTCTTTTAATCATTTTCTGGATTTATTGACTATTTTTGTCTCTAAAATGTCAGAAAAGGGTAAAAACAGCAGCTCTAGGTCTTCAGATGATGTCTTGTTTTGTCTTAAAACCTGACAGTATTTAATTTACTGTCATGTTTGGCAAAGATAAACATCAAATCCTCAAAGTCAAGAAGCTGACGGCAGCTAAAATGACTCATAGTTGTTATTACATTACCAAAATAATTGTTGATTCTGTTTCCACCCATAGATTAATCGACTCATCGCTGTAGCTCTGTTTCCGTCTTTGTATAAGACAGATGAGCACTAACACTAGATCTTAAAGAAACATAAGATTGAAAATACTGAGAACATAACAAAATCCTGAGAAGTTGATTCAGATCCTGTATGACATCACATTCATCACATGTTTCTCAGTCCAAACGAAACAATGTCAAACAGAAATTCAGTTTACAATTACTCAAGAGAGAGAAAAAAAGAAGTTCACGTTTTAGATTGATGAATCTAATGATTTTATTAACACCAAATTAAAAAGTCAAATAAGATCCTTTTTTCCTCTGGTCTGAAGTCTTTTAACGTGAAGTATCTTTATCACTTTATCTGTATGAGTGGACAAATGCAGTGTTTTATTTTATCATGGCGTATTTTACCTAAACTCTATAAAAAAAACGTATCCATGGGTTTCACAGTTAACGCGTCTTGTTCTGCTTTTCCCTCATGTCCTGTTTGTGCTCATCAAGGAGTACACGCTGTCCGAGTACCTGAGGATGAGCGGTATCTACTGGGGTCTGACGGTGATGGACCTGATGGGTCAGCTGCCCCGCATGAACCAGGAGGAGATCACAGACTTCATCAAATCCTGTCAGCATGAGTGCGGAGGCATCAGCGCCAGTATCGGACATGACCCCCACCTGCTCTACACACTCAGCGCCGTCCAGGTGAATAAAAGGATTAGTTGAACATCTAAAAACTGCGCTGCCTCTTTAACTTTTTGTTTTTTAAGATTTAGTTTTTATTATAACTCCCAGGAAAAACTTTAGATTTTGTCTGTTAGCACCAGGTTTAAAATATCACCTGGTTGCTCTGCTCCCCTTGTGTTTTGTCTCTTCTGTTTTTTGACTTTGATTTTTGCTTTGATGACTTCAGATCTTGTCTTTATACGATAACGTGGACGCGATCGATGTGGACAAAGTGGTGGAATATGTGAAAGGGCTGCAGCAGGAGGACGGCTCATTTGCAGGAGACAAATGGGGTGAGCAGGGTTTACTTTTAATCAAGTGATCTCAAGTTACTTAAAAGTTGTTGTTAGTAGAGCAGATTACATTCGAGTCCATATCAGTGTTGATAGTACATGAGTCACATGTATTTATATAATAGTTTGCTTTTAATACAGTATTATAAAGTGCAAGTAATTGCAGTAAAAATGTTGTAGTATAATAAAAGTTCTTTGTGTTAACAGGAGAAATAGACACAAGGTTTTCCTTCTGTGCTGTTGCTACACTGGCATTACTGGTATGTAAATGACTTTTTATTATTCTGTACATACTCAATATAAAACTAACACATTCAAATAAAGTGCCCTTTGCTCCTCTGTTCATTCTCAGGGCAAGATGGACAAAATAAATGTTGACAAAGCCGTTGAGTTCGTCTTAAGCTGTATGAACTTTGACGGAGGTTTCGGCTGCAGACCTGGTTCAGAGTCTCACGCTGGTCAGGTGAGTCCTGCGGTGCCAGACAGGAGAGAGAGACATTTACCGTCTCTCAGCTCTTTTTAAACACAAGCAACAAGTTGAAACTTAAAAAGAAATCCTGCTGCTTCCCCCAGAGAGTGAGGTTATGATTTTTTTATTCACATGAAGCTGCAGCTTGGTCTCGTTAGAGGGAGTCTGAGATTGTAAATCATCCACAGTAACAGGCTGAAATGTTCTCACTCTGGAACATGGTTGGGTTTTACATTTCCACTCCTCTTGAGTGGTGTCAAATGTAAAATTCTCAAATATAATTTCTGTTTTTCTTCCTTCTGTCCTTCAGATTTACTGCTGCACTGGCTTCCTGTCGCTCACCGGACAGCTGCACCAGGTGAACGCCGACCTGCTGGGCTGGTGGCTCTGCGAGAGGCAGCTGAAGTCCGGAGGCCTCAACGGACGACCTGAGAAGGTTTGTGCTCGACAGATGTCGGTGCATAATGTTGACTGAAACAGCAGCTTTCAGATTCCTGATTAAGTTCTGCTGCTTTGATGCGTCTCGAGTTTTGGGAATTAATTTTGCAAGCATGTGGTCACAGGGGAAATGTAGTCTTTTGAAATAGGACAAGAGGTTCCCTTTCATGATCGCTCACAGTTATAAATAGAACACATGCACCACGTTAAACAAGACATATGATGCACACACGAGAGAATCATTACTTCACATTTCAAACTTTATTGATCAGATTATTTTTTACCTGTGCACTTTGACTTTTGCAACCTATATATTCATTCAAGTCTGTTTAATGTGTATTTATCAGCCCCAGTTATTCTCAACAAGGCTTTAATTTAAAAATTCAAGGCAGGTTGTGAACTGTAGGTGGTAATTGTTGTGTATACTTTTACTTAAAAGTCGTCAAACAAGATAAACATTCTCATTTAGTTTCAGTCATTACACCCAACCACCGTAAAACATAATTCAACTGTTGCAACTGTTCCACTCAGCTTCCTGACGTGTGCTACTCATGGTGGGTGCTGGCATCTCTGAAAATCATCGGCAGGATTCACTGGATCGACAAAGCCAAGCTGCGAGCGTTTATCCTCGCCTGCCAGGACGAGGAGACGGGAGGTTTCGCTGATAGACCAGGAGACATGGTGAGCTGCCAAACACAACTTCAATCCAAGTGCTGGAAAGAGGAAATATGTTCGACCTGTCGTTTCTCTAAATCCTGTCTCCTGTTTCATCTGTAGTCACCTCCGCTGTCCGTCGAGTATTACTTACCCTCCCCATGTCCTTTTTATTATTCCTCACCCGTCACACAGATCCTATCCTATCTGTCCATCTGTCTCATATCTTGGAGACTTTCTCCAGTGGAAGGTGTGAGTTAAAACTTCTCTGAGAGAAGTTACTCAGGGAACTGCCTCAGGATGTGTTTGATCCGTTTTAAATATTCTGTAACAAGCTATACTATAGAATCTTTAGTTTTTAATAATGAAAAGGAAACTCAAACTTCATGAGTAGATGATTTTATGTCTTTGGACTGTGGTGAGAAGCTGAAGAACATGTAAACTTCTCATAAATTACAGAAAAAAGTTATTTTTCCTCAGACCCACGATCTAAAACCAATATTTATTCAGTTTACGATCATAGAATACAGAGAAAATGAGCTCACACCCACATTTAAGGATATGAAACCAGGAAGCTCTTCAGTAACAGATGTTTTTTTTAAACCTGCCAGTCGTCTCTTAATAAGATAAAGATTGAATGTCTTCTCTCTGGCTCCATGATGCACATCATCTACTTTTTGCATTCCTGCAAATCTGTCTCGCAATCTTTTCATAGATTTTGTAACAACGCCCACAGACGTCGTCCTTTTTTTCTCATCAACCGTCGTCCTCTCTGCAGGTGGATCCTTTCCACACTTTGTTCGGAGTCGCGGGTCTCTCCCTCCTCGGAGACGAGCAGATAAAGCCGGTGAATCCAGTGCTGTGTATGCCCGAGGACGTCCTGCAGAGAGTCGGACTGCAGCCGGACCTCCTGAGCTAGCGCCCTGACACCATCGTCCCAACATCACACACGATGCCCTGCTGAGCACGCCGACCACCGCTGCTGGATGTCAGGAGCAGAGAGAGGGCCACCACTCATCCTAGTTTTAGTCCACAGACACATTCACATGCAGGTTTCTGAGGTGTGAACGTCTCTGAGCTTTTCTGTCCTTAAACCCTCAACCTCTCGTCATGTTATCAAGTCAGGTTTCTTGGGTTCACTGCGGGAAAATGATGAATTAGACAGAAATGCAACCTTTGTTACATAGAAAGTAGAAAAAGCCCAGAATTCATGAAACAACATTCCTTGTTCATTATGTCAGTTTGAATGAAAACGTATCTGTGGCACAGGAAACAGTGGTGGAAATGCTTCAGCCTCTTTCTTGCTCTCGTCACCTGTTCAGCGAGCCGAGGAAGTTAGTACTGTCGTTCTGTTATTTCTGACCAGAGGAAGAGACGCTGATTTTCTTTCCTCCTTTGTTCCACGTTGACTGAGGTAGATCCTGTTTTACTCGACAGATTTGCACATTGAACCTTGAGAGAGTTGAAGGATTGTGTGGGACGGATCAAACGAGCTCAGCCGAGAGGTTCAAGTTTTCTGATGTGTTTTGGATTAAAGGCATCTCGTGTCTTTTTTCCCGGCACTACCTGCTCCTTATAAAATAACTTGAGCAAACTATCAACTTTCTAATCCTTATCTTAGAGCAGTCTAATCAACAGTGCGCTCCAAATTTTAATGGATTCTTCCTTGAGTCGTTCCCCACACCACAAACGTTCAAGGAATTGGGTTCAGCAGTTTTTGAGTCATTCTGTCATGGCGGAGATAATCACACGTCTCACAGCACGGGGACATGTTGCAAATAAAAATAGTTCTGTTTATGTCACTGTGATTTAAAACGAAACTCTACAAAACAGAGAGATTGTTATTAAGGAAAGCGTTGGAGGAGGGACACGGCACGTGATGGTGTCGATGTCTCGTCACCAGTTTATTTAATGTCTCATCCACAGGCTGAGTTTATTTAAATCCATGTTAATCAGTGCAGGGTTGTAAAGCCGCCGTGGGCAGAAGTTACATTTGTCTTCACTCTGTGTGTAAAGTATTTCCAGCCTTATGCTCAGATGAAACTAAACAGATTCTGTGAAATGGCTTTTTGAAAAATCTTAACATTTATTAGCTTTGTTAAACTTGTTTATTTGCACTCGTATGTCTCTGTTGTAACGGACGGTAAATAAATCTGATATTAATGCTTCACTTGTGTAAACATTTAATTCATGTTCACATTTTGAGGTTGTGTGTTTTTAAATTAACACCAAAAAATGGAGGCTCACAGGAAAAGAAATGACAATGCAGTAAAACATAAAATGTCTTCATAGGAGACGTTATACATTATTAACAATTATACAAATAGATTGTGTTAAACAATTTATTAAATGTGTATTGACATAACCAATAAATATTATTGTGTTGTCGTTGCTATGCGGAAATCCGGATTTTTAAAAACAACTGAGTCCTGAACATGTCGTCGAACCACCAGGTCTCATCTGGTCTTTGTGCTTCTGCAGCTCTGACTCCTGCACATCCACGTATGTGAATACTGATGTAAGTTATTTTTCTTGTTTGGCAATAAAGGTTTGATTTCCTCTACGGCCGGATTCAGTTTGACTTTTTCTGTAAGAGGTTAAAGACACGAACTGAAGCTATTTTATTTTATATTTTACTGATGCATGTTATATTTGGTTCAATGTTAATTGCACAATAATTCACAGGGGTTTTGAAAATTCAAGGAACAGGTGAGCAGCACTAGATGGCAGCATTCTCCTTTAAAAATCCACTCATGTTCATTTAAAAGCAAAAAACGGATCATCGTGAAGAAGAGTGTTTATGGGATTGAAAGCAAAATACTGATAAAAAGTAATTGTGTATTTTTTCAATATTAACCACTGTGCCCTGAAGTAACCCGTCACTTTTAAAGTAATTTTACATTAGAGAAGGTTGTTAATATAGAAGGGAACAGCTTCATTAGAGTCAGGGGGAGGTGCTGGAATTGGATTTGGCTTTGAGTATGGA